AGAGAGAGAGAGAGAGAGAGAGAGAGAGAGAGAGAGAGAGAGAGAGAGAGAGAGATGATATAAAACCTTTTAAATGAAATATAACAAAATTGAGAAGTCAGCAATGGGAACCAGCAGTCTAACTTCTGGCTGCAGCCTTTATCTTCTTCAGCAAATTAATCATTAAGAAAAATAAGTATGTCTTTAGGGCATCAAGGACAGTGGGGGGAGGGGCAACATAGAATCTCCTCCCCCCTCAGTGATCTTGCTCTCAATTCTTTCACTGCAACATTCAAACTTTACTTTTATTGAGTAATGTCTTGTCAGTTAAGCAATGGAAGGGCAGAGGAGCATAACTGTTGGGCTATGCTTAGGACATCCATTGGTCTTAATCTGGCCCTCCCTTACATCTAAATTACTCAACTGAATGTGAGGAGAAGAATTTTGGGCAGGAAGAGTAAATTCTATAGTGAAAAGCAGCAGAAGAGAAGAAGATGATAAAAATTAAATAGTCATTGCCAGTTACGATCATCCCACTGTGGCCCCATCCATCACTGTTTCTCACTAAACAAGGATTTCTCACCCTCAGAATAATAACGCACTTATGAATAGTGTACTTACGGCACTGTGGAACATCACAGTATTCCCAGCCTTTATTTTTATCTGTTGTATAGCACCAAGGACCATTTGTATCACCATCAGGACTTCTGCAATACTGTAAAGAAATAAAGTATAATAATAATAATAATAATAATAATAATAATAATAATAATAATAATAATAAAAATTGGAAGGGACTTTGGAGATCATATAATCCAACCCCCTGCTCAGGCAGGAAACCCTATACCATTTCAGACAAATGGCTGTCCAGTCTCTTCTTAAAAACTTCCAGTGTTGGAGCATTCACCGCTTCTAGAGGCAGGTTGTTCCACTGGTTAATTGTTCTAACTGTCAGGAAGTTTCTCCTTAGTTCTAGGTTGCTTCTCTCCTTGATTAGTTTCCATCCATTGCTTCTTGTCCTGCTTTCAGGCGCTATTAATAAGACTGGACTACATTTAGCCTCACTAGTTTAAAAAATGCAGCCAAAAATGCAACCAACTATAAAATGAATATAGTTATGGGAATATGAGGTGAAATAGTAGTCATTTGTTTATATATAGTACCGACATGATATTGCCTTGCCCAGAAATCATGGTCTGCCATTCAAGAGTGAGCTCTTTTGCTACCTTCTGTTTCTCCTATCACAAACACAAATCTTTACAGTTCTTTTAGTAGCCTTAACAATAATCAGTAACCTCCACTGTATCTGAGTTTTGCAGTATGTCATTTTCAATTAGGTTATGCAAATAACCTAGGAAACTAAGAAGCTAGAGATCCAGTTTTGTCTAGTGGTTAAAGCACCAGGCTAGAAACTAGGAGGCTCTGAGTTCTACTCCTGCCTTAAGCTGAAAGCATGGCTGGCTGAGGAATTCTGGGAGTTGAAGTCCACAAGTCTTAAAGCTGTCAAGTTTGGAGACCCCTATCTCAGCCCAACCCACCTCACAGGCTTCTTGTGGTAGGAAAAATAGGAGGAAGGAGCATTAGGTATGTTAGCCACCTTGAATTATTTATAAAAAATAATAAAGGCAGGATAAAAAATATTAAAAAGCATACACTGCGATAAGTGATTTCAATTTACTACAGTGTCGTGTTTTCTAATTAAATAAATTTTAGAGCAAGATATAGAATATTGATAGAGGAGAAGGGAAGGATAGAAATAACAGGAAAAAAAGAAGAAATCGTGTCCAAGAACAAGAGATATTGATGGGGAAAGGACACTTTTATAATTCTTGTCACAAACCTGAACACAAACTTGTCTGATAATATTGTTGTTATTATAGTTGATCACATAGTTCAGCTGTTTAGATGGAATTTGGCAATTGTATCCGCTTATCAATGCTGATGGTATGCAGCAGATATTTTGGGATTGTATACTAGGTGTCTATTATTATTATTGGTACTATCTTTGCTTTCTTTCTTTTGCCATAGTCCTTCTACTTCTGTTTACAGGTCTTTGTATTTTGTGATTTTTCTCCAGTTCTTTCTCTTCTCTTTTCCCGTCTCCAGGTACTACCATGTCCATTATTCAGACTTTTTTTTTGTCTTTTTTACTGACAATGGTCAAGTCAAGGATCTGATTCTTGTGGCCAATGGTACTTACATTTTTCTCCAGTCCTGACCTCGGGTGAGTCTCTGGTGTGAAAGAAGTATGTTCATGAGGGACTTGTGATTGCCATTCTTGGCAGGTCCTACCAGTCCCTGTGGTTGCAATATGTCCACGATAGTCTCTACCACTTCCAACCCTACAGTCTTTAAAGAGGGGAAAAGGATGAATTAGAATTTGCTATTATATAGGATACAGATTTATTTCAGCACAGGTTGAATAGCTATTTCCTTTTATGAGAAATTCTGGAAGCTGCCATTGTATGCCATTAGAGTTATTAATGAAAAGTCCTCGGGGCTCTCTTGCAGATGTTTCTTTACCCAACCTAGGTAACATCATCAGTGCTAGTAATGAGTGCTGTTTGCTGTCAAGAAACTGCCAAAGAAACCAACAGCAAACAGCCCAACCAAACAATCTCTAAGACCACCCCCTCCAACACTGACAGGGCAAGCCACCAGAATATAAACTGACAGCATGCTGCACTCCTTACTTCCACTGATGATATTATTACCTAGATTGGGTAATAAAATGTCTGCAAGAAAACAAGCAAGCCCAGAGAGCACCACGTCAACCCTGACCTACAAATATTCTCCTTTATTAGAGTTGTTAATTTTGCCAGTGGCTGTGGCCTGAAATAGCAACATTTGGGCTATCTGAAGAGAACAGTGAGGGCAAGACTTTTCATGTTGCAAGAAGTGAAGCCCAGATTACTTCTGAATGTTTTAGTTTCTGACATTCTCTGGACTGTAACCCCAAAGGGCCTTAAAAGCAATTCAACATTCATGTGGTAGATGCTGGATTTAAGGTGGAAGGGCCCAACTTTTCCAGGCCTTTCTGATAGGTCTGCAGGGATGGCTAATCTGAAGAAAAAGGGGAATGAATAATTTTACCGTCTCAGAAATGAGAATTAAGAATCACCTGAGGTTTATGAGTAGAAACAAAAGGAATAGATGAAATAAAGCAAAATAGATTGAAATGAATAGGAAAGAAGGAAGAATAGGATCTAATCTGGGATGGTCACTGGGACCAGAGGTTTAGTCTTTTGAGCTTTTGGACTTATGTAGAACCCATCCTCAGGGAACTTCTCTCTAGCAGTGTGTGTGCTTTGGGCTATTCTGTGTGTGGTATTTATATGGTACCTGGTTATGTATGGCTTTTTAGTTGTCAGAACAACTCAGAATAATCTTATTGTGGATTTCAAGAGTGATCGGACTGTAAGCCCAGAAAGAGTTTACATAGCAAAGAGAAGACATACATACATACATACATACATACATACATACATACATACATCAATGAGTCTCAATCTTTGGTACATGTAGAAAAGTGGAACTTCAAAATATCTTCAGCAGGATACATAGTAACCAATGAAATATTGTGCTACGCAGATGGAATAAATGACTACTATAATAGTGGAATGCCTATTAAAACAAATTTCCTTCTCAGAAAATTTTTTCCTTTTTATTTCTGCTCTGGTAACTCCATGATTCTTTGACAGAATCCTTGATGAGATTTTAATATGAAACCTGAGCACCAATGTTATACGTGATGACTCAAAAAACTGACCACCAAGTTCAATGAAACTTACATTCAAGTAAGTAAATGTATCTATTCAGTCCTATATCTATTTATCTTGAAATAAGTTTCTGAGATGAGCTTAAGTATCTAATTGTCCCTGAAAATTCATCAAAATGGAGTATGACTCCTATTAAAGTATAGACAAAGATTTGGAAGAAAAGATTGATATTAAGAATAAAGTGTGGAGTGATGGTAAAATCCCCAAAGCTGCCCATTCCTAAAAGTAAATAAATAAATCAAAATTAAGTGAGGAGAGGGAAGAGGTAGGAAATAGCCAGATCTCTCAGAACTCTAAGTCCTAACCATCTGCTCCTCTGCTCTTATGCATAATTTTTTCAGAAATAATTATCTGAAAAATTAATAGAACATAATAGAAAGAACAAGGAACTTGGCTATGGATTGCTACTGGTCCCTTAAAAACCTCATGGCTTGAGGTGGAGTTATCTCCAGCCACTGAGTCACTCTTTTCTGCATTGAAAACAGTGTCATTCACAGTTTAAGATTAGCTTTTGCCTGGTTGTTTCTAATCTAGGAGAAGAGGAGAAGTCATACCAATGTTTTGTGTCAATGTCTGCGAAGTTTCTGGTTTAGCACACTTCTGTAGATTGCAGTAGTCCCACCTTGTCTCAGGATCAGTAGTATAACACCAGGGTGCTTTGTCATCATCAGGGTTTCGGCAATAGTTCCTTCTCAAGTCCCTATTAATAAATGCATAAAGTGGGTTAAATGTTATGTTATAGAGCAGAGAAGGACAACTTGGGGATGAAAGTCCATCATGAATATTTCTTGGGATGCTGAGAATATCCATAGACAAAGAATGAATTATGTTTAGAAAGCCATCTCTCATTATCTCAGAACAATATTCTACAAGTTCTGGTTGTTTGCCATCTAATACTTGTTTATATCTTTATAATAGTCATATTAAATATTTCTGTCAATCGTAGAGGTAAAAAGTTTTTTCCTATCAAATTTTCAGATAAAACTGCCAACAAATCTTCATGTTCTGATAGATGTGCGGCTTCCCCTTTGTCCCATATTGTTCCCTTTTTCTTAAGTATTACGTAGTTATAAAAATATATAGAACACTATCTCATTACCCTGCAGGTTTTATCACACCCATGTTTGTTGTTGTTCAGTTGCTATGTCATGTAGGACTCTTTGTGGTCCCGTGGACCTTAGCACACTAGGCCACCCTATCCTCCACTATCTCCCCAGGTTTGCCCAAATTCATGTTCATTGCATCAATGACACTATCTAACCATCTTCCCCTCTGCCATCCCCTTCCTTTTGCCTTCAATCCTTCCCAACATCAGGGTCTTTTCCAATGAGTCCTTTCTTCTCATTTGGGGCCAAAGTATTTGAACTTTGTGCTTGATCACACTCATAAGAAGTCCCGTTCTATCCAAAGTGAAGTGGAAGAACAATCAAGAAGAATCAAGTTCTTCCTCTCTGTAGATAGGGCTGGAGTATCTCTGAGATGCTGGCTGCCCATGTGCATAGCATGACTGCTCATGGAAAAGATCTCTAATGGATCTCTCCACATGGAGATCAGCTACATATTGAGATCACTTGGAGAGAGGAGAAACAGTTCATTGCTCCTGTTGTGTATTACCCAAATAAGGCTATTTTGTACCCAGGGGAATTTTGACATTGAATGGCCAGCACATACAACAGATAACGAACACTTCAAGAAACCTACGCATTTGGGAATACAGATGGTGTCTTAGAGTGACGATGGGGCCGCATAGAAATCCATGCTTGGCATTTTTTCCCTGTGATAGTCACTGCTGCAGTACCCCGATAATTTGAGCCATTGTCATAATAGCAATCATCAACCTGTTGAGGTTCCTGTTGAGGTATTTGGGGAGGCATTTGGGGAGGAACAGCAGGGACAGCAGCTACATTAAAGAAAAAAAGCAGAAATAAAAACAACTTGTGGGAAATCATAGTATCTTCTTTATTTCCAAAAGCTTTATTATCAGTGTCCCATTATCACATAATTGTATAGTAAAAACAGAGCAAGCCTTCTTATTTTTGTTATAGATCGGTGACAATATATTATTTATTTGCTAATATGTAGCCAATTCTGTTTTACAAGTGTGTAGTAATTGCAAGCCACTATCCAAAATATTTTAACCAGAAGAAAATTCTTCTCACAGTCCTCTTAATAGCTGACTATTTCTAAAATTAGAAGACTTCTATCAAAATAATAATAATAATAATAATAATAATAATAATAATAAAATTTCGAACCGATCCTGTCATTTTATGTAAATAAGCACTAATATGAAATAGATATAAGCATAACAACATCTGCATTTAAAACATGCTGAATTCATTTAAATCATATTGAATTCACTCAACTTGCCCAGTCTATTTCTATTGCCTATTTCTCAACTTTATTTTAGTTTTGCACCTTTAATTTCCTAGAGTTTTGTTTAAAAGTTCAAAACATTTTAGTTACTTCGTCCCTTTCTCAATTACACAAATATAAATATTCTTACCAGTAACTGTGACGACATCATCACATTGAGTAGCAATGTTGCAGTATTCCCATCGAGTATTTGAGTCAGTTGTATAGCACCAAGGCTTAGTCTCTCCATCAGGGTTTCTACAATAGTTTTTTTCCAAACCTCTGAAATAAAATGTGCATAAAAGCAAGAAATGTTTAAGGGAACAAGAGAGAGGTAAACATTACTATAACATGAAGTCTGAGTTACTAACTTGAAAACAGTTATTGAATAAAGCAAAAGTTTCCATGAAGTTTCAGATTTTAATTTGATCCTGAACCCATTTTTAATGCAATGGTTGGGTTCATAACAAGGATTTTTCAATGAGAGTTTGTTAAGGAAGCCGTAGGGGGCTGCTCCATGTATAATTTATTATTTGTTAGAAATTTTTCCACAGTCGCTCCTCCTTTATGGGACATCCTTCCTTTGGAGATTAGAATGGTCCCAATCTTGTTAGCTTCTTATAAGGCTCTAAAAATTTGGCTATTTTCCCATTCCTGAGGCACTGAATGTGTTAAGGGGACCATTAACTGGCTGTATTGCTAACTGACCAAGTATCCTGGCTGCTATGTATATTTATTTTGGATGCTTCTATTATTTTTATTGTTTTAAAATATTTTTTAATATTTTTACTGTAATTTTTTTAATTGTAAGCCCACCAGAGTCATTATCTATGATGGGCATTTATAGAATTGAATGAATTAATGAATGACTAATGATACGCCGTGATTGAAAGATGCATGCATCAAACAAGAAATAAATAAATAAGCCATGAAGACAGCAATATTTATTACTAAAAGGAAAGTTTGGAAAGTTAGAAACAGAACTACAAAAAACTCCACAGAAAAAGACTTTGAAAAGAGAAATGGAAATAAGAAAACATAAACTAAATCTGTTGGACTCAGAAAAACTGGCAGAACAGATAAAGAGAGCAAAACAAAACTTTTTTGAAAATGCCAATAAACCAGGAAGATGATTAGCTTATAAACTTAAAAAACAGAAAGAGAATAAAATAATACATAACTTAGTAGATGGAAAAAGTTGTCTACAATTCAGAAATGAAGAAATAAAAAGATAATTAAGGAATACTATAAGGAATTGTATGATAAAGAGGAGACTTCAAGAGAGAGAACTGTTCAATATCTAGAAGAAAGTAAACTTCCAAAAATTCCAGAGACATTTAAAACTATGTTAGAAGAAAGGATCACAATGATGGAGATATCAGAGGCTATAAAACAACAAAAAAATGGGAAAACACCGGGCCTGGCGGAGCTCTATAAAAATTTACAAGATATATTAAGCGAACCGCTGAAAGATGTTTTTAATGGACTTTTGTTAGATGCTAAGGTTCCAACTACATGGATAGAAGCAAATATTACTTTAATACCAAAAGAAGACTCAGATTTGACGTATATTAAGAACTACAGACCGATCTCATTACTTAATGTGGATTATAAAATGTTTACTTCAATAATGGCAGAGAGATTGAAAAAATACTTAGTTGAATTTATACATCCAGATCAAAACGGCTTTTTACCAAAGAGACAAATCAAAAACAACTTAAGAGTGATAATGGACATATTAGACTACTATGAACTACATCCAGGGAAACAATTAGCATCAATATTCTTAGATGCCCAAAAGGCATTTGACAACGTTTCCTGGCAATTTATGATTCAGCAATTACAAATAATGGACTTTGGAAAGAATATGATAAAAACAATATATAACAACCAGACAGCAAAAGTGATTGTGAATGGAGATTGTACTGAGAGCTTTGAAATAAGAAAAGGCACAATGTCCACTATCCCCACTATTATTTATTTTCACTCAGGAAGTTTTAAATAGAAGGATTAGATAAGACCAGGGCTTTTTTTCAGCCGGAACGCGGCGGAACCGCGTTCCGGCACCTTTTTCCGGGCCGGCCGCACCGGGCGCAACATCTGGGGGGGNAAAAAAAAAAAAAAAAAAATTAAGTGAGGGGAGGGAAGAGGTAGGAAACAGCCAGATCTCTCAGAACTCTAAGTCCTAACCATCTGCTCCTCTGCTCTTATGCATAATTTTTTCAGAAATAATTATCTGAAAAATTAATAGAACATAATAGAAAGAACAAGGAACTTGGCTATGGATTGCTAATGGTCCCTTAAAAACCTCATGGCTTGAGGTGGAGTTATCTCCAGCCACTGAGTCACTCTTTTCTGCATTGAAAACAGTGTCATTCACAGTTTAAGATTAGCTTTTGCCTGGTAGTTTCTAATCTAGGAGAAGAGGAGAAGTCATACCAATGTTTTGTGTCAATGTCTGCGAAGTTTCCGGTTTAGCACACTTCTGTAGATTGCAGTAGTCCCACCTTGTCTCAGGATCAGTAGTATAACACCAGGGTGCTTTGTCCTCATCAGGGTTTCGGCAATAGTTCCTTCTCAAGTCCCTATTAATAAATGCATAAAGTGGGTTAAATGTTATGCTATAGAGCAGAGAAGGGCAACTTGGGGATGGAAGTCCATCATGAATATTTCTTGGGATGCTGAGAATATCCATAGATAAAGAATGAATTATGTTTAGAAAGCCATCTCTCATTATCTCAGAACAATATTCTACAAGTTCTGGTTGTTTGCCATCTAATACTTGTTTATATCTTTATAATAGTCATATTAAATATTTCTGTCAATCGTAGAGGCAAAAAGTTTTTTCCTATCAAATTTTCAGATAAAACTGCCAACAAATCTTCATGTTCTGATAGATGTGCGGCTTCCCCTTTGTCCCATATTGTTCCCTTTTTCTTAACTATTACGTAGTTATAAAAATATATAGAACACTATCTCATTACCCTGCAGGTTTTATCACACCCATGTTTGTTGTTGTTCAGTTGCTATGTCATGTAGGACTCTTTGTGGTCCCGTGGACCTTAGCACACTAGGCCACCCTATCCTCCACTATCTCCCCAGATTTGCCCAAATTCATGTTCATTGCATCAATGACACTATCTAACCATCTCCCCCTCTGCCATCCCCTTCCTTTTGCCTTCAATCCTTCCCAACATCAGGGTCTTTTCCAATGAGTCCTTTCTTCTCATTTGGGGCCAAAGTATTTGAACTTTGTGCTTGATCACACTCATAAGAAGTCCCATTCTATCCAAAGTGAAGTGGAAGAACAATCAAGAAGAATCAAGTTCTTCCTCTCTGTAGATAGGGCTGGAGTATCTCTGAGATGCTGGCTGCCCATGTGCATAGCATGACTGCTCATGGAAAGGATCTCTAATGGATCTCTCCACATGGAGATCAGCTACATATTGAGATCACTTGGAGAGAGGAGAAACAGTTCATTGCTCCTGCTGTGTATTACCTAAACAAGGCTATTTTGTACCCAGGGGAATTTTGACATTGAATGGCCAGCACATACAACAGATAACGAACACTTCAAGAAACCTACGCATTTGGGAATACAGATGGTGTCTTAGAGTGACGATGGGGCCGCATAGAAATCCATGCTTGGCATTTTTTCCCTGTGATAGTCACTGCTGCAGTACCCCGATAATTTGAGCCATTGTCATAATAGCAATCATCAACCTGTTGAGGTTCCTGTTGAGGTATTTGGGGAGGCATTTGGGGAGGAACAGCAGGGACAGCAGCTACATTAAAGAAAAAAAGCAGAAATAAAAACAACTTGTGGGAAATCATAGTATCTTCTTTATTTCCCAAAGCTTTATTATCAATGTCCCATTCTCACATAATTGTATGGTAAAAACAGAGCAAGCCTTCCTATTTTTGTTATAGATCGGTGACAATATATTATTTATTTGCTAATATGTAGTCAATTCTGTTTTAAAAGTGTGTAGTAATTGCAAGCCACTATCCAAAATATTTTAACCAGAAGAAAATTCTTCTCACAGTCCACTTAATAGCTGACTATTTCTAAAATTAGAAGACTTCTATCAAAATTTCGAACCGATCCTGTCATTTTATGTAAATAAGCACTAATATGAAATAGATATAAGCATAACAACATCTGCATTTAAAACATGCTGAATTCATTTAAATCATATTGAATTCACTCAACTTGCCCAGTCTATTTCTATTGCCTATTTCTCAACTTTAATTTCCTAGAGTTTTGTTTAAAAGTTCAAAACATTTTAGTTACTTCGTCCCTTTCTCAATTACACAAATATAAATATTCTTACCAGTAACTGTGACGACATCATCACATTGAGTAGCAATGTTGCAGTATTCCCATCGAGTATTTGAGTCAGTTGTATAGCACCAAGGCTTAGTCTCTCCATCAGGGTTTCTAC